AGCGGCAGGGCATTGCCGGCTCTGGTAGAGTTGGTGATTTCTGCTCGTTCAACACTGATTGTTTGACGGTGAGTTAGCGGAATTCAATCCTCGCATTAGTACTTTGTTAATTTTAGACACTTCTCGGGTAAACTCTTCCCTTTAGAACCAAAAAACCATAAACAATGGACTTTTGTTTTAAATAATAAGACACAAAATAATTTTTCATATAATAAATATCTGATAATTTTTATTGATATTTTACTTACCCTTAAACTAAAAGCAAGGATAAATAGATTTCAGCTTTCGAAGTTTAACAAACTTTTCCACAGGATTGTGTGCTTCCAAAGTAAATACCTTTTTATACATCGCGCAATCTCAGCTCAAACTTAAATTTAAGAATTGGCTGAAGATGCGCTCCTCCTCAAAAGCTCAATTGCGTGGCCCTTTCTTTTGATTTTTTGCTAAGGAAAAACAAAGCTATACAAAATTGAGTATGGTTTGGAAGAACTTGGCGCTTGATTGAAAAACGGTAGGAGATTGAAGTCAAGCAAATTTGCGAAGTAGAAAGAGACTAGAAGGATATGAAGATAGATAATAATAATCGATAATACAGATTGTATGCTATAGTTGTGAAAGGATTTGAGCAAAATCAATCGTAAACGCCTTAAAACCCAACATCTGGACAACGGAGCAAAATTCTAGAAAAGCTGGAATAAAGCCGAAGTCGTAATTTTGTATATGCAGACTGTGATTATATCAATTTCAGGGAATGTTCTGCTCAACCGGTTCGTGTACCTGCCTCAGTAACTTTGTCGCGATCCAAGGCTACTGCTATCTTAAGAAGAATCCCGGCGAGAGCGGTTGCCAATACGCTGAACAATGCAGTGCTGTATGGCCAGAAAGTCGTTGTGAGAAATCACGTTGCGAATGTCCAGAAGATGTTAACGGGATCCCATACGTGCAAGCAAAAACTCGTGACGGCGTCATCTGTATCCTCCATTCGGGCGAGGACGGTGATCCCGTTCCCAAATGCCCGTTGCCGGAATACGATGATGACTTGTTGACAATGCCAGTGTCTCAATTGAGAAATCCAGCAATGACTGATCCAGATGATTCGGACGTTGAAATGGGCGAACATGTGAATCCGCTTCAGTTTTGCTCGTCTTCGTCCACTGATTACACGAATTTCGTGAGCAATGGTGGTGGTGCTTGCGTATATTCACAGGATCCACAGAGTGGTGAAGGGGTTTACATCGCTGACATCTATGACTGCGTTACTTCTACTGCTTCTATGGCTAACGTTAAAACTGCTATGGAAGGTGTCTATGACATTAGTCCCGCCGCTGATGGAATTTGCTGTCCTAACAGAGGTTTGTATTAAGATTTTACGGATTGAGGACAACACAATTCCAGTTACTTAATTTTTTTGTCTTCGTCGAAACTTTTGAAATTCTGATTTCAGTTTTGTTCATTTTAAGAAATCAAAAACTCTACTGTAATATGACATGCTCAAGCAAATTAATAACTTTTTTTTCCGCAAATTACGCCTTTTCATTTCTTTCTGCAAATGTTTTTCACTTCAGTAATGCTAACCTCT